ATAATCCTATTGTCATCTGCAGAAGTCACATACAAGGTTTAAAGAAAACATTCTAAATTTATCAAGACCAGCTTTCCACTAGGCTTAGCAAGACTTAGGAAAGGCTGGCCCTGTTTAAGGGGGTCAGGAATAATTTTAAGATTGGATTCTTTTCTTAAGGTGCAAAATGAAGAAAAGCAATTAATTGAATCAACTTATTAACACAGTAAATAGAAAGCTCCTACAAAAATCTATTAAAAGCTCCATACAACAGCCTGTTACCTATATGTAGTTTGTTCATTTCTTCATATGGGAAGTGCATTCCTGAGCCTCAGAAATAGGATTCTTATACTTGGGTTTCTTTACCACACTACCTTAAAAATCTTGCCTCTAAAACAGATAGACCACAAAACTGCTTTTCAATAATGTCAAAGAAACCTTCCTAAATATCGTGAAAACCATGTGCCAATTAACCCTAGTAGGGTAAATTCTTGGATGTCACAGAGACAAATTTACCTTAGTGAATAAGTGTTTTAAAGAGATTTGAAAATCTGAACTACTTTTTTTGGCTTTATTTTCAAAAGATAAGTCACATTAAGGAAATTCTAATGAATATTTCCAGACATGATTTTACTATTACTATTATTATTATTATTCACTAAGTCTTCTGTACCAACATGGAAGGGGGAGGAGTTTGGGGGCAGGGCCGGGAGAGGTTTGATTAACAAGAATGACCAGATGGAAGGTGGTAATGAAAAGGCTCCAGTTCTCCTTAGAGCAGAACCTGCAGGGGGTAGACCTATTAAAAGACTCATTGCTTTGGAGTCATTTCTAAATAGATTACAAGTACTTTGAGGTTAACCACTTGGCTGATTGTCAAGATGATCAGAACGCCCTCAGTACCATTCAGAGCTCTGACCTCTCCCAGAAAAGGCACTGAAACGCTTCGGTGTTGTGAGACTCTCCCAGATTTCAAGAGTGGATAAAATCATTACTATGGCAGAACCACTGGGCACACAGGACTGGAATCCATCCTCATCTAGCCTAACCTCAACATAATACTATAAATGTGAGAGTATATATGCTTGTAATTGACCCTGTACAACTCCTCTGATAATCAAAAACTCATTGAGATAGCTCTTCTCTAGTAACAGAGCCATTCACAAATATTACATTTTTTTTGTGTGTTTTACAAGTACTATACTTATTAAACTTTGCCAGGAAAGTAAGAAAAACTTTAAACTACTCATTGTTTCCTTTATGATCAGCAAACAGAATGGTGAAGACTTTAAATATAAGAAGGTGCAATTGAATAGAAGAATGACTTGTTCTGGACAGTGGTTCAGTTAGAAGATTTCTTTTTTCACCAGAAGTATTTTGGATACCTAGTCCCCCCACCCCCACCCCCAAGCAGCCCAGTTTAAATTGCCTAATCAAAGTTCTATGTAATTCCCAATCCAAGTTCTATGCAATTCAGTTCATCTACGAGACCCACTCAACCAATTTGTGGATTTCTCCACAATTGCTCGAAGGATGATCATTTCTTTAGATGGATGCCAGGTGGCTGTTTTCCTCCACATTCTGGAGGCTTCTCTCTTTCCCTTCTGTTCAAGACAACCCTGCCCATTCATGTGCTCTATTCGTAACTGATAAGACAGGGAGAGATGGAAAATCATGAATGTTCTGTTTTGTACCTGCATTCAAAAGCAGCATCTGCTATGCCTGTGGAGCCATCTGTTCCCCATTTTGCTATGGAAAGGATGGAGCTGGCCTCAGAAGTGGTGTCACAGGTCACAAGATGGCATTATCTCCTTCTTGAGGTGGATGTACACAGGCTTATGGTTCAGTCACCATAGCTAATGACTCTCTCCTACCCCCACCTATTCAGAGCGAGATCTGTGCTTCGAAACATTTCTGTAGAAACAAGTCCTAAAGTTTGTTTTAATTCCCATTTGCCCAAATATTTATTTTTTTAAATTCCCTCATCCTGAAATGATGTTTGTCCCTTTCTCCCCCAAGTTCTTAAGTCTCCAATCTGTGCATCTGATTTATAAAAAAAAAAAAAAAAAAATCAAAGGGTTGAACTTTGAACTCAGTGATCTTGGAGGCGCGCCTGTGCTTGAACACTGAAAATTCCTGTGATTTTTAAGCCAACTCAAGTGCATCAAGGAACACAACAACTTCCTTCACAACTAGGGTACATTAAGACACTTAATGCCAAGTGCAAGAGTCTGCCACAGCCAAAAAGGCTTCTATGACATGATCTCTTTGTGTTGAGCAACAACAGTTAAGTGAGTTCTTAGAGGATCTAAATTAAATTAAAATCTCTAATCTTGTTAATATCTAACCCTGAGGTAATAAAGAATCTGAAGCTGGACAGTTCTTTGTGCATCCCCTGCATTGTAGGAAGTTTAACAGCATCCAAAGTCCCTATTGACTAGATGCCAGTATTACTCTCCAACCGCAAGTACCACAAGCTGAGACAACCAAAAACACATTGTGCCAGTCCTTGTCCCCTGGAACTCTTCCTTTACCAACTGAGAACCATTGCTTCGATCCACAAAGCTCATCACTTTGGTGTCTGTGTTCAAATGGGTGCCACTACACAGTTAACTAAAGCCTAGCAGGGATTTAATAGTCAGATTGTAAAATATAACCAGGCTTTGGTGGCTCACAGCTGAAATCCTAGATACTCAGGAGGCTGAGATCTGAGGCTCTCAGTTTGAAGCCAGCTTGGAGGAGGGTTGGGAGGGGGCAGGAAAGTCTCTTGAGGCTCTTATCTCCAGTTAAATACCAAAAGAGCTAGAAGTGGAGGTGTGGCTCAAGTAGATGTATTCGTCCAAGCCCAAAGTTCAAGCCCCAGTATTGATACAAAAAAAAGAACAACATAAAATAAAGCAAAGGTATTTTACTCATGTTTTCTAAGTTATCCCTGTGCATATAGCCTTCTTACTAAGGGATGCATTTGGCACAACTTAACTTCCAACTACTCAAACGTAACTTCAATTACCCTCTAAAAGTTTCCTAAAATAATCCCTTCTTTCAAGTCACTTCTCCAGTGCACTTAGAACCAACTCTGCTTAAACTTTCCAAAACAGGTTTGAAGAAGATTGTGTAAAACAGTTTTGTTTAATCATTTAGACTCCTTGTCCCTATTCTGTGTGTGTGTGTGTGTGTGTGTGTGTGTGAGAGAGAGAGAGAGAGAGAGAGAGAGAGTGCACTCACAAACAAATGGTTCTGAAAAGGTTGATAAAGCGGTTGACTTTGACAAGGTAAGGTTGGTGAAAAGAAAGGTTAGCAATTGTTTTATTCCTATTTTCCAAGTATTCCTACTTCAGGATCCTGGCAACTGTCCCCTACAGTGAATCCCCCCTCCCCCAAAGAACAGCAGCTGCCAGCTATAAGCAACAGATTGAACCTTGCAAATGGACTGAAATGATGACTACCCTTGACCAAACATCTCACTTTTTCATGTGTGAGCTGGGCTGGGGTTTGCAAACCTCTGAGTCTCAGAAGGTTCGAAAGGGACACTAGCTGGGAGCAAAAAAGGAAAATTCAACTCCCCTTGATATTAAAAGCCCTACCAGCTATCCACTTTTTTGAGATGCTGCAGTTTCTTAAAGTACGCACAATGTTTAAAGTTCACAGTAAATGTAAAAGAAAAGCCTTATAAACAACTATGTGGAGGTTACAAAACAGAAACCATGAAAGACACAACTGTTACTTTTCAAAGAATCTTAGCTCTATATTCAAACAAATATTTACACAATTGGGAGCAATGGCACCAGGCATATGGCCACTCTGTTAAAACAGTGGATAACTCTGAAGGTTTATTTATCCCAAAGCCAACTACTCTGTTGCTACCCTACCACGAACAAAGAATTCAAGTGCTCCAAGGGCAAACGTTTAACCTTCTGAATCTCTGAAACTGCTTTAGGTGTTAAGAGCTGGGAGACAAATTTCAAACTGTATAAAGAAAGCCGAACCAGGGAGCTTAAAGTTCACATCCCACACTTGAACATCTACATCTGTAACTTGCACACTGATGTAACTGAAGGGAAACGCGGCTGACAAATATTTACATTAACAGGACTCTACAGTTTCATGCCTCTTCCATTTCCCCTCCCAGCTGCGCTCGGAAGAGTCTAGTTTAGCATCCTAGAACTTCAGAGCGGGGCAGATGGAAGACTTTCAGAGAAGGCAAAGCCAGCCAAAGATCTACAGCCCAGAGCCAGACGGCCTTGTCAAAGGTCGTGGTCCCTTTCCCTTTTTTACATGAGAAAGGTAAAGGAGGAACCGCTGGAAGCAAGTTCCGTGAGTAAAACTCTTTCCAACAGGAAACCCCAGCCCAGGAAGGGACAGCCTGTCAGCCCTCTTAATTTCCTGGCGGTGGCGGGAGTTAGCCAGGTCCACGACGCTTTAATAAGTAATGACTACACGAGCAAAGTTGTTCAATGTACCAGCAAACAATATCAGCTCCTCCGGTGCTGTGCGGAGCGCTGGTGAAAGAGTTGAAACTCTCCCCCAGGGCTCCCCTTCCACGAAGTTAGGCGAGGGACGGCCACGCCTAAACTTTGAGGGGCTCTCTCCATGGGGAGCCTTAGTCTTAAAACAAAAGTAGAACCTGAAGCCAAGCTAGCCAGACAAGTGAGTGAAGAGGGTCTTCTCTGAGCCGCGTCCTTCCCCCCATCCAGCAGCCGGACGTCTCATTCCCAAGGATCTAGCCCAAGGACCCGATTGCTCTCTCCTCGAGCATTAGAGTTGTCCCCCCCAAAAAAAGTTGTCCCCAGAACCCCTAAATATTTGCCGCCTGAGGCTTACGATCGCTCTACCAGGATACCCCTTTCCCTCCAGAATCCTCGCCATCGGAAGTCCACCCAACGCTCCCAGACTCATGCACAATGGGGGTCAGGGTCCCCAGCTCTGGGCTCTGCCCACCCCAGCCGGGGCTTTTGTCCCTGAAGCTTGCAAGAGAAACCAAGGGAGGAAAAAAAAAGTCTGCGCCCCGAGCGCCCACTCACCATCTCATCTTCCTTGCCAGCTGCCGCGGTCCCCGGGCCTCTCCGCCCTCTAGGCTGACCCAGGTTCAGGTAGGTTCCTCTCCGGTCCTAACGCAGCTGCAAGCCCGCAGCAGCTCCAGCCACCGCCGCCGCCGCACGCCAGCCCGAGGCTCCCGACGCCCTCGCGCCGCGCAGCCAGTGCGCCCCTCCCGGGCCGCGGAGGCCACTGCCTCCTCTCCGCCCCCAACCCTCCGCTGCGCAACCGGCGGAGACCAACTCCGCGGCGGGGGAGGCGGTGTCCCCGAGGCGCCACCCGGCAGCGCGCAGCCAGCGCTGCGCCCTCCTCCAGGATCTACTACCGACCCTTCCTCCTCCGGCGTGGCGGCGTGACCGGGTGTCCGCAGCCAGCCAGGGAAGACGCGCGGGGTGCGTCCCACCACCCCGGAGGGTCCCCCTCGGGCCGCGATGGTGGGCTCGGCGCGGCTGGGTCCCGCTCTGCTGATCGATCCCCTGGGGGAGCTCTGCCTGGGTCCCTGGGTGGTTGGAGCCCCGAGTTCGGAGGCCGTTCCTGGCCCGGGCAAGCTTACTGCTGGGGCTTTTCACTGCTGCCTGGCGTGTTCCCCATCCCCTGGCGCCACTTTCTCAAAGCCGCGCTCACAGCCACAGGCTTGAGAGTTTCTGGCTGGCTTTTCCACTGTGGTGGAAGAAGGGCGCGAGAGTTTCATGCCCATCCCGGGGTGATGAGTTCCTTACCCCAGCCCGGTGACGTCGTTTCTGCGGTGGAAGCTCCAGGTGACCGCACCTCCTCCGGACAGGTTAAGGAAGGGCGTCCGGTTTACCAGATGCAAGTGGCAAACAAACAAACAAAAAGTGGGCGAACGACCTCAGGCTAGGATTAGGGGTCTAGAACGTTTGTACCGACGGCTTTGTAGCGGTTTAAGTTTCTATGTTTTCCAACCTTTTTTTTTCCTTCTGAGCTTCAGCCACCAATGAAAACGCAGCTGATGTGAAGATCTGCCAGCTTTGCATCCTAGCAAGACAGAAGGATGGACTGGCCCTCAGGGTGGGTCACAATTCACCTTGGCCTGGGGGAAGGCTAATCTCTACAAAGGTCCCAGCTAGTGTCTGGAGTTACACCTCAGGAGGATTACAGACCTGGAGGAACTCACAACATCCAGAAAGCTCAAGGGAGAACAAACTGTTTACCTTAGGATAGTGTGCAGGCAAGTTTTAAATCCTATAAACACTGGAAGTTAATAAGCCTCTGTGTAATATACCATGAACCTACCCACAAGTCACTTAACAAACAGCTCGTTTAATAAACATTGCACCCGTGTAAAGAAAAGTCTGGCAGCTTATTTCAGAGAGAACCTCACCTAAAGAATGCTTAGGGTGTTGTAGGCCTTGTTCTTCTCTCCCTGTCTTGGATTTTTGGCCCGCGGAAATATGCATGGGCAAATCCAATAGTTAAATGCTTCACTAATTCTTTCTTCTCTTTCCTCCTCTTTATTGGAGCATTCTCATTATTTCATCTTTAAAGGGCAAAAAAATGGCTGACTCCATTCCTCCTACAGCTAGTTGTCCTTTCTTTCTGTTCAGCTATAACAAAACTTTAAGGAATTGTTAAGCTGTCCTTGATTTCTCCCTTTACATTTTATTCCAGCCAGTATTGGTTCCTACTGTTTCTCTAGAATTGTTCTTGTTGAAATAAAGTGGTGTTATTAAAAGGTTGCTTCAAAAGATAATAAACAAATAACAGGTTGCTTCTTTCCAAGTCTTCAGGCCTGTTATCCCAAGTTGGGGGGGAGAAGGGGCTGAAGCAAGAGGAACACAAGTCCAAGGCCAAGGTCGCTTATATAAGGAGTTCTAAGCCAGCTGTGACTATGTAGCCAAGCATGTGCAGGGTCTTTGGTTTGAGCACTAGCATGGGTTGGGAGGGGGGGGTGGGGGACTTGCTTTTCACCTTTCATTTTAATTCCTTACAGCTGTCAGCAGTAATATGCACTTGATCACATTCTTCTGGAAACACTGTATTTGACTGCATATCATACTTTCATGGTTTTCTTCCTACCCACTGATTACTCCTTTTGCTCTTTATACTGTCAGAGCACTGAGGGTCCAGAGTTCAGACTTTGAACTTTTTTTTATGTACTCTTACTCCCTTGGTGGTCTCTGGTTGTCTTACTGCACTAAATACTATCTCAGTCTTACCTCCAGCCTTCTCCTTCTCCTTGATTTCGAGATTAACAACTAAGCACTTATATTTGTAATGGACTTCTCCATGAAACATTTCCAACATTAGATTCTTGAAATTCCTTTCTCTGTCCCCCCAACCATTCTTTCTCAACTCATCTCCAAACCAGCCCTAAAGCCTTGGTGTCAGCCCTGACTTTTCTATTTCTCTTGAATCTATCAGGAAATCCACCCTGTTCTGCGTCCAAAGTAAATCCAGAATTCAGCTACGTCCACTGTGATTCCCACCCAGATCTAATCTACCACATTGTCTGGACTTTCCTTCTTTCTACTTCAGTCCTCTGGCAGGATACTCTCAACACAGCAACCAATGATTCTTTTAAAACTTCTGGCAGCACAAACCACTGCTCTGCTCAAAACACAGATGTGGCTTTATCTCAAGCAAAGCTAAAGTCTTTGGTAGGGCCCAGGGAAACACCTGATCTGTCATTCTCTGACTTTATCTCCTACTGCCTTCCTTCACTGAGCTCTTACCACAATTCCCTCCTCAAATTTCCTAGAGGATTCCTAGAGAGGCAGGCTTCCATCCATCTCAGGGCATCTCAATTCTCTGCTCCTCTCTACCCAATGTATCTGCAGACCTGGCCCTTTACTTCCTTCGAGATACTGCTTAAGTGTCACAGTGTTGCTCAAGCCTATCCTGAAACTCCTTAAAATTTTAAATGCAGTTTCCATGCTATAAGCTTTCATTGTTTTGTATTGACAGAGTTAACACCTTCTATTAGGCTTTTGTGTCAGCTGGCTTTCTATGACAGTAACAAATACCTGGGGTAATAAATGTTGAGAGAGAAGATGTCTATTTGGCTCACGGTTGAGGGGGTTCTGTCTATTTAGGTTTGTGGAAAGGCAACCCATCATGGTGAAAACACTAGAGCAGAAATCCTGGCTTCATGGCCAAAGAATAAACACAAAAGAGAAAGGAACTGCCTGGGTTTTGACAGCTCAGAGGAAGAACCAGGATTCAAAACATTTGAAATGTAAAACAAAAAAAGGCAACTTTGCTGGGAAGGTGGCTCAGTGGTAGAGCGTTTGCCTTGCATGCCTGAGGCCCTGGGTTCGATTCCCCAGCACCACATAAGCAAAAAGAAAAAAGCCAGAAGTGGCGCTGTGGCTCAAGTGGTAGAGCGCTAGCCTTGAGCTGAAGAGCTGAGGGACAGCGCCTAGGCCCAGGACTAGACCCAAAAAAAAAAAAAAAAGAAGAATTGGAATCAAATTTTTGGGGCTGGGAAGGTGGCTCAGTGGTAGAGCACTTGCCTTGCATGCATGAGGCCCTGGGTTCGATTCCTCAGCACCACATAAGCAGAAAAAAAAAAAAAAGCCAGAAGTGGCGCTGTGGCTCAAGTGGTAGAGTGCTAGCCTTGAGCTGAAGAGCTGAGGGACAGCGCCCAGGCCCAGAGTTCAGGCCCCACGACTGGACCCCCCCAAAAAAATTTAAAAAAATAAAAAAAAGAAGTCAGCTCTCAATCTTAAAAAAAAAAAAAAACGGCAACGTTGCTAAGCATCCCTTTGTTGCAGACCAGGTGAATATTTGTAAAAGATATAAACTAAAGCATTTAATGGTACATCTCTGTAAAGACCTTATTGCCCCATGTAATTGTAATGTGATAATAGTGTGTGTGTGTGTGTGTGTGTGTGTGTGTGTGTGTGTGTTAATGACCCAAATAAGTATGGAAAAAAGGGAAGTTGTACCCATGAGTCCATCAGGAAAAACAGCTTATATGACCTTCCTGTTGCAGGAAAAGTGTTTTCTTGGCAGGGGTCTTGGCGTGAACACTGGAGGAGAACAGAGCTTGGGAAGGTTTGGGAAACCATGAGTAATCCAGCCTGTCCAGCAGACTGCATGTGAGGAGGGAGAAGGGGAGATAAGGCCTAAGAAGCTGGGCAGGACTTGGGGGGGCGTAAGGGGGGAGACAGGGATTGGAATGTTAGATATGATGTCATTTCCTTGCTCTGCACTCACCCTGGCTCTTCCTTGCCTGATAAATGCAGGAAGAGCCAGAAGTTGTGTAGGAAGTACAGACTGTAGAGGGCTAGGAGAAAAGCTGAAGAGGAGTTCCAGACACGAAATTTAGACTGATAAAAGCTCTACAGATGCTATTTTCTGTGTTAAAGGTCTGAATCTCAAGTCAAGTCTTCTCAACAAAGTATTCATGAAGTTCCAATTAAGGTGCTGAATCTCTGCCCACTGCCTACTGCATCTTTTTTTTCCCCCTGCTATGCTAACTCTAAAGTCATAGACTAGCATTCAGATGGGAATGATAAAGTCAATTAAAAAATCATTATATGGCACCTAGCTCCTACCAGACTTTAGTATTAGTGTCTGGGATAAGTTCTAAATGGTTGAAGAATTCCTTCCTCCCTCTCTTCCTTCTTTCTTTCCTTCCTTCCTTTCTTCCTTCCTTCCTTCTCTCTCTCTCTCTTTCTTTTCTTTCTTTCTTTCCTCCCTTCTTTCTTTCTTTTCATTGGCTCTGGGGTTTGAACTCATGCCTTCATGCTCTCTCTTCTTGATTGTTCGGCTGGTACTTGGACCACTTGGACCCTGCCTCCAGTCCTGTTTTTGCTGGTTACTTTGGAGATAGAGTCTCATAAAGTTTTCTGCCCTGGCTGATTCCAGCTGAGCTCATTTGGATTTCTGACTGTCCCCAAGAACCAAAAGTTTCTGTATATTTCAAATATGCATAATAAATGTGATTAATGAAGGTGATTGAAATTTATCCATTGTTGAACTAGAGACCAAGACAAATAAACAAATGAGCAATAAAAACTTTAATATTTATTCTGTTTGATTATCCAAGGTTGATTCCCAAAACATTTCCAAAACTTTAACATAGGTATATTAATATACTAGTCCTGTAATGCTAATATTAGATATAGCCTTCTAAAAATAATAACCCAACAATACACTAGAGAA